GCTTCATGGGAGCTTTCCTATTTTGTTGAGGTCCATTACTCATAGCACAGGTGCTACATTTCTTACATTAGTCTTTTACATCATCGGAACTGTTCATCCAGTAAAACCTTTGCCGAACTCTTTGAAGGAAACGAAATACATTATTTTCTCCTCAACGGAAGTCATCTTATTTTCCACATCAGCGAAAATTTAATTTTTCAGAGAAGACATTTGGTTTTCCAAGTCGGAAGAAATTTAGGTTTTTAAAGAAGATATGTCAGAAGACACCTTTTCTTCTAAGGAAGAAATGTCAGACGAAACTTTACTTTCTGAGGAAGTAATATCACTTTTTATAGAAGAAACCTCTGAAGAAACTTTATTATCTAAAGAAGAAATGTCAGAAGAAACTTCTAATGAGGAAATATTATTTTTAATAGATCAGAAGAAATATCGGTTTTTAAAGAATATATCTTGTTTTCCATATCAGAAGACATTTTACTTTCCAATGAAGAAATTATTGAAGAGGCATCATCAGGAAATATATACGTATCCGGATCTAAACCGTCACTTTCTAGTGCTTCTTCAAGCCGCTCTGCCAGCTCTGCTTTCTTTCCTGTCGTCTCCAGATCACGATCTTCTAATTCTCGACGCAATTCAGCCACTTTTAAATAACACAGTTTTTTAGCCATTTTAGTCCACTATTTATTTACAATCCCACTTCTGACACCAATGTGACGTTTATTTATTTAAAACACACTATTTACAGTTTATTTATGACGTACTAATTAATTTATATAATACTTAGACACTAACTCATAATTATAATTTATTTATTACAATTTATCTTTTCAGTCCAATACTTTATTTTAAACTACTCGTCCGTCGTTGAACTTGTGCTATTTATACAAAGCCCACTCTGTTCTCGAAGTTTCTAGACGTTCTCGCATGTCACCCGAAAATTCCATCTCTATGACTCAACAGCCACGTATTGCTTTCTCTGGTAGATTCGAGAAGCGGCAGAGACAAACGCGCCGCGCAACGTCAGCGGTGATTCGATCATGAGTCGGGTGGCAGGCTTCAGGAATAGCTTATACATCCCCATGACAGTATAGACATCAAGTATCACTTTGAGAGAGAAACAATATTTAAATAATGAAGCCTAATTTGATTCAATTAGAAATGATAAATTAAGTAAATATATTGTATATTTTGTAGATATGTGTGTTGTTAACTTTAATATAGTATGATAACAGAAAATAAAGATTTGTACCTCTACAAAACTAAGCAATACTGAAGCTATTCTTTATGTGTTCTGTGTATGTTTTCCTTTTTTCATTTGTCGTTTGATTTCACACCTTTGCCGTTTAATTTATATTTTTAACTCTTATTTCATAGTAAAATATTTCCTTCTTCCTCTTATGTTTTATATAATATATTCTCGTTCCACCACTGCTACCTTTTAACCTACTTGTTTGTTATCCTCGATGTTCCGTTTAAATTTTATCAGTAATTTATTTTCAAATCATCTAAAAATGGTCCTTTTATAATATCGACCGTGTTTCAAAAGCCACTCAGCGAGAATAGCACCTTGATACCAGCTTCTAAAAGTTTTAAACTATCGATACATTTTTATAACGAATTCGATTAATTATTAATCAGTTTAAATAATCTCAAAACATTGCAAACTTGTAATTTAATGAAGGTTAATTATCAACGCCCCTTGCAAAAATTCAATTACTTTAACACCCGACACATAATGAATTAAATCTAATTAAAATGGCTCCCGTCGGCTTATAATAGCTAATAAAGTAAAATTCCATAATGGTTGAAATAGCAGAATCATTAATAATAATAGTGGAGAATGGTTAAAGCTTTAACCACAATTAATTGCAAATAACCCTATCGAATCGATTACTCTCGATTTATATAATTTTATATAAATTTTATTCAATTTCACGAAAAACTTTATTAAGAATAATGACTAATTACTATTAAAAAGTATCTTTACTAACATATAGGGTGATTTGTTAATTTGGAACTTCATATAGCTCTAATATTTTTTCGGGTTAATTAAATTTTTTGGTTAAAATGTAGATTGTTCCCAAGCAATCGATTGTTCTTCTAAAAATGCAGAGTTTCCATGACCCTTCAAATTATTAGTTATAGTTACGTTACTGTATCTGCAACTGGACCCTCTTCTACAATTACCAGTTACATGAAAGTAACAAGGGACTGGCTCCACTGTAACTTGGACACTGGGCGAATGGGTGCAGACTAGTATTTGGAAGACTATTTTAACCATGTTTTGCATGATCCTTCAATCCAGCTAGTTGCATTCTCTCTTTGGTATGGCTAGTTACTGTACATTGGACTCATAAACATAAACTAAGTAATATACATTCCATACATTATGATAAATTTATCGATCTCGGCAAGTGTTCTTTGTTACCAGATAGGAAAAGTAACGTGATTCATCTTGAAGTTTCAAAGCGCTTTCCCAGGGGCTGGTATATGACCTTCAAGTTCTGGTAAACGACCAAACTTCTTTCGAAAATTTTGCCTGTACTTATAAAATTCTTCAGATGTTTCTTGACGTTGAAATACTTTTTTGGTTGTGGTCACTCTTAAATGATGCTAGTCGATTTTTATGCACTATCTTAAGTTTTCCGTTTGGCACCTCTCTTTTCTGATAAGGTCCATTACTCATAGCACAGGTGGTACATTTCTTACACCAGTCCTTTAGATTATTGGAACTGTTTATGCAAAAAAACACGAACTCTCTAAAGGGTTTTTTAACACCTGTCGTGTAACTGACGAAGTACTTTGGCTACCCTAATCTTCGGAATGATCAACTGTTTCAAAGCTATCATCATTTTCGAGTACTCGCTTTAATAAGCTCTAATAATAAGCCTTCTTTCAGGATAAAACAGTCCTATCAACTATCTCTTTTACTAATCGTTAACTACTGTTGTTTTTTGTGCTGCAACTTCTTCAGCAGACGTGGCTAACTCCTTTCCATTCAGAGTTTCTCGACCAACACTTCCATTGCGCCTCGAAGGTTTCATCATGGCAGGTGTTTTTTCTCCCACAGTTCCTTGCAACCGCGTTACTCTTATGGTTTCACTTCTATCAGGTACCACCGTTCCTTCCTGTACAGCTACCGGCACGGTTTTTCGTTTGGTAGTGATCCTAAGGCCTTTACGTGAACTGCATACATTTCCCGTTTCACTGCAATTCCAGCATTAGATAGTCTTCATCTTCTTATCAACAAGGCTTTTTCCTCTGCTTTTACAGTCTTTACTTCACTGTATCCACCAGAAGCCAGCGTAGCCGCTTTAATTTCAAGAGCAGCGGACAAGACATCGACCAATGTTTTATGACGGGCTAATCAGAATGTAATTTTCTTCTCTTGATCATGGTCTTGGTCTTCAATAAATGCTTGGACAGCAAAACATTTTATCATATATTCTGGAGCTGTTCCAAGTGTTCGTGGCTAGCGTTCGTGGTCATATCGCGAGTTTAATCTCTTTTTTAGCTGTTCAAAGACAGTCTTTTCCACAAGTATAGTCTAAAGAATCTCCTCGAAGGGCTATGGTCAGATGTATTGCCTATTGGTTCGCACTCGCAGCTGTTGGTAGACAATTGGTCCACAACATCTTCTTGTCAAAAGTTGGAACTTTACCACCTTATAGCACTTTATTTCGTATTTTTTACAACTTGCCTTTCCTGTTTTCTCCATTTAATCTACTTTCTTTTTTCATATCTTTTTTCGCCTCGAGAATAAACTTTATTTTTTATAGAAACCGTTTCAATATACACAATTTTTTACTGAGGAAGAAATTGAAAAAATTATAGCAGAAGCATTATCCGAAAATTGAAACGTTTCAGGATCTAAACCCTCACTTTGTATTGCTTGTTTTAGCCGCTCTGTCAACTCTGCTTTCTTTCCTGTCATCTTCAGATTACGATTCTCTAGTACCTGACGTAACTTCGCCACTTTTACATCACACAATATTTTAGTAATGTTCATCCATTATTTATTTCCAAAATCCCGACTTTTAAGACCAATGTAACATTAATTTATTTGTACTAATTTATATAGACGTTTACTTAAAAACTAATTTATGTGGACAATTACTCACAACTATGTCCCTCCCGTATTCAACTGAATTTTTCCATCGCAACTCAGCCAATTTATATAAAATGGTGAAGGTTCTGCGCTTCCACCAAATTCCTCAACTAATATTGCAATATATAGCACCTTCACCATTTTATATAAATGGAAGTTAAAATCGGAACATTAGTATTTAAGCAAATGTCTATATAAAATAGTATTAAGTATAAATAAATTAGCATATAAAAAACTGTTTTAAAATGAATAAAAGTTACAATAGATTAAAAATTTCGTTTAGATCCGAATTTTAATATATTTGGAAATTGTAAGGTTAAAATACTACCCTAAGATACACCGAATTTAATCTGGTATATTGACATACTGACAATTTGTTTTCGCTGATAAATATATGATTTTAAGACAGAGTTGTATTATTAAATTTAAAAAACTTCATGCCAAGTAAAATTTTACGTTTTATATTATTGAAAGCTTTCGAGAAATATACTAGTATTAAGATAGAAATGTTGTCAGGGCTGTAACCCAGCTTTAGCCTGACCTTAAATCGGCTTATTTACTAGGTTATACGTATGTTGTTGTTTTTTCCAAAACGCTCTCATTTTTAATGTCCATTACTTTCTCTAATATTTTGGAAAAAACAGATAAAATACCATTTGATCTTGAGTCACTATATTCTTCAGGCAATATTATTTTTGGCAGGGGCAAAACTTTTTAACAAATTTCCATGCTACAGGAAAAAAACAATTTTTTTATAATGTGTAATAGAAACAGACAAAATTATGTGAAATGATAATATTATTATTAGATTTAGGTGGGGATTTAAAACGATACAGGGTGTATATTACTTATTGTTCACTGAGTGTATAAAAGAGAAAAAGAAATCACTTACCGACAACATTCAGATTAACAAAATAACTTTTGACTGGTTGAGTGCTGATCTGACATTCGTAGGTGCCTGCATCTCTTTTTTGTGCCCATTTGATTTGAAGTGTCCAATCGTCAGTCTCTGGATGATGATTGGCTTGAAATCGTTGATCACTTGTATAAGTGTAGCTGCCGACTGTCAGAATGTGAATATCTCTGTGTCTTATCCAGGATACCTGAAACCAAAGAACACAATTTTAAAATAAATAACCTATCGAAAAACAAAACAATACAACTCTTGTTTTATTTTATAATATGTAACAAATTGCAAAATTATTGGAGTTGAAAAAAGCTATTACGCATAGTATATTTAGTGAATAAGTAATAAAAAGGACTAAAATAAATTAGTTTGACAGTTGTACTTTTTATTATTTCATTAAGTAATAAAAATATATTAGAATTCTATAGTTCTCACTAGTGCAGTGCAGCGTTCCATCCAACCTTATATGAAATAGTAGGTGATATTGTACGGTATAATTAAAACTTTCTTATGTCTAAGTTTATGGACCCCGGTGGAATATAACACCCTCTAGTATACAGTCGAAAGTTTAACATTTAACTTTGATCCAAGTAACAGTAAGTATAACTAAACATGATTATGCCATGAATACTCCAGGATTTACAACTTTCTGCATGATAAATGGATGAAAAGAGACAAAAGTCTGCCTAAAGCTATGTATAATAAGCACAGACAATTTCATGTTATGTAAGTGCAATTTGAGCATTTCATTCATATCGAGTTAATACTGTTTGTTGCTTTAGAACAACTGGAAATGTTTCAAATTACATTACATGTTTTTCATAGAAAGAGTTAGAAAATAAACTGTAGTACAAAAATATACCTCAAATATTTATATTTGTCTTGAAACTACATCCACAATTTGATTTGTTTATATTATTTACTCTTATAAAAATTGACGTTGACACTTTCGGAGATAGGAGGTACTGTAGGATATACGTCGTTTAGGAAGAACGTTTTAGGAAAGGTGCAGACTATATAATTGGATACAAATAATAAAGTGATTGCTTGAATGTAAAATAATAAAATGAATTTTCACATTAAATAATCAAAAATGAATGAATCCGAGCTCATTTGGGTCCGGATTCTTATAACCGTTTTAATGGCTTTTTGTGACGTCTCTGTGTGTCTTAGTTCCCAGAGAAAAACAAATCTGGGTGGAAAGGGGTGGCTGATTATTTACTTGCCTTGAAAATTTTGTGTATCGAAAACAACGTTAATATTAAAATGCACTTAAGATAAGTGTGTCAAGTGCACGAAAATTGGATCTCTTACAGACAGGGTTATAGATATTATTTATTAGGTATCGTAAATAGGATTTAATTATATGGGAGATTTTTTGTTAAATGAAGGATTTTTTAGTTTAATAAGAATGCAATATTATATATAATAAATAAAATTAATAAATTATTAAAGTATCTCGCCCATTACAGTAGCCAAGAAAGAACGGGAACACTTGAATTTCGATCAAGAGAAGACAAGCAAGTAGGCGTTAGTGCCCGTTAAAGACATTCTTTATTTTGTTCCTTAATTATTTAGATGTTTAACATTGTTTTAGAGATATTTAATTAAAAAGTATAAAACTATGTTAACACGTATTTTGTGGCTATACAGGGTGTTATAGTATACAGGGTGATAAATAATTTAAAAATACTAATTTTGATGTTAATTTTAACACTATAATAATAAAAATTCATGGATTTTAATTATTACATTTATACTTTCACTAATATTATCCATCTAAGCATAAAGTTTTCATCATTAAGGCTGATTTTTCGTTTATTTTGTGGCTCATTATTCATTAAACACTCAGTATACATAATCGAATCCGTTTAGTTTTAAAACACTTTTATCGTATAATTATTTTCGTAATCATCTTTTCCAAGTAAAAGTCACAAATTTGAAAATGTATATGGAATCATAACTGATTCGTTCTATATTCTCGACGAATACGTATATTGTCTGGGAAAAAGAGGATATTCATTGACATTCAGCAACGATTTTGCAAGAAAAAGACATTATAAAGCTGGGTCAATACCTTATCGATGATGGATATCTTTGGGTGAACTCTTAAGAACATCACGTCCTCGCTACTCATCCGAATCCACTATCTCACTTATTATGGAAATAAATTTGCATTTTCCAGATATGGGATGTATGTAGGTTATACACGGATTGGATGGATTGTACGTAGGTAGCTACCGATTTGGTCGTGTTTGAATTGATGTTAACACGTCTATGATTTATGAGTTCAGAATTACCTTAAATTATAAGTATAAAATTATATATGTTCTTTCGTTCGATCGATCTTTCATTCGTTCGTTCGATCTTTCATTCGTTCGATCCATTATTCATTCATTCGATCTTTTATTTGTTCAATTTTTCATTAATTCGTTCGATCTTTCATTCATTCGTTCATTTGTTCGATCTTTCGTTCGTTCGTTTGAACATTCATTCGTTCGATCTAATTAATGTATTTATTAAGACTTTGTGAATTTTTAAGTAATTTGTTCGTTATAGGAATAGATGGTTGCCGTATTAGCAGTAATGTAATTTCTGTTGATATGGTATCCAGATTTGAAATTGCAGTGCGTTACCGTTTCGATGATGGTGGGTGAGGTTTTCCGGGTTTTCCTCACTTGTAAGTCAAATGGCACCATCAATCATATTTATGTCGCTCAGGAGCGCCACGAAAAATATTAATAATAGCCGTCCCTTTCTACACAAACTCAGTCGGCTTTAGGGGTTGAAATTCACTTGTAAGAGGATGAATTAGGGAGAGTATTATTATTTCCACTTTTTCGCAATCCCAGATCTCACTGGTGAGATATATATATATATATACTTAGCCATCTTCTGATATTTTCTGGGGAAGTTGTGGGTACAGCTACATCAACGAGGACTGAGTTGATTCTTCTATCCAATACTACAATATCTGGTCTGTTATTGTTCACCTATTTATTGGCGATATTATACCTATCATAATAGTCTAAAATTGTAATTTTCGAGCACCTTCTGATCTGGCACTTATAACACGGTGTATAGGTGTTAAATAGACCGAATTGTTGGCCAGTTTCTGTTTCTATTATTAATATTATCATCATTATTATTATAAATATTAAATTTTTTTATAACGCTACTAGTTTTGACCTTGCAGGGTCATCTTCAGGCCTAAAAAGAAAGACGTTGAACTAACAAATGAAGGAGAAGCTACCAAAAGGTTAATCAGACTAAATACTTCTTATATCAACAAAATCATTGATTAAAATTTAAATTAATAAACTCACTTTTTAATTCAAAGGAAATAATTTAAGAGGGTGGTCATAATAGAAGGCATGATTAATAATATTATTTATTATTTAAATATCTAAATGATACTTTAACCTTATACAAGTATAGATAAAATGTGCTTCCATATTGAGATACTGCAAATTTAATGAAAATGGCTTAAATATAGATAGTTTGAGTTACTAATTAATTAAAATTGAGAAAGAGGCAGAGTTGAACAACCATTCACTAATCTGGAAGATATAGTATCTGGATCATCTTCGTAGAAAAAATGAATACAAATTTGTTCAAAAAATTATATTGCCGTGACGTGACAATGATGTAGACTCAATAATTGCATTGGCATTGCAAAAGGATTTTAAGAACAACTGTCTAACATGTTCTCTAAATATAATGTAAAAATTGATCATAAACCTAACAATACAACTAAAACATTATTCTCGAATTAGTAAAAAAATTTGCACTCTTTAGATTTTGAAAATGTAACACTTCTCGAAAATAAACCAAATTTCAACAAAAGAATAATCCTTGAGATGATACAAAAAAATAATAAGTCTGTAAATAATAAAAATCAAACGTTTATTTTAATCATATTAACTAATTGTAAGCTTTTTAATCTTTAATTGTAACGCCACTGATAATTTTAAATTTGTAAAAACTCATATTTTTGTTTCCATACTTTATCGTGCTAAACCAAATTATTTCGAATACACCACTTCACAAGCTGTGAAATAGAAAGATGTGATTTTTATTATTTTAAAAAAATTTAAACTATTTGTATTCGTCCCCCCATATTTTTATAAAATTGACTGCACCAGAAGATGGCAAAATGTGTTTCCGAAACATATATATGTAGTGCTTGAATTATAAAAAAATAAAAACGATTTGACCGAAAAAACCAAGGAAATTTTTGTTTATATAAAATTCTACAACGGTCAGGAAATTATCTTTACATAAATAAATCAGTTTGTTAACTATTAAACAATTTTTTTATTCAGTGTGGCATAGTCACAATCTTACAACCTCAATCTAATAAAAGAAATAATAAATAAAAGCTTTCTAAACACTAATTATAAATACAAGGTACAAGGGCCACAAATAACCGTGACTACTGTGTACAAATCTAACGTTAAAATAAATATCCTGTGTAGAATTTTGTTTTCCCGGCTTACGTATTTTTATATACCAAACTAAATACCCAAAAAATTATTTTAAATTATAATAGTAAAAAAAACAAAACTCACCTGATTTTTACACGTGCTGCACTGTAAACAAAAAAAGAACGATAAAACTAATCCGCGAAAAATTTAGAAACTAAAGCATAACAGACATTGTTCTAGGATAGTTTGGCCTACTAAATGGAAACGTATATACTGAGTGTCTTTGAAAATTATTTGCCACAGAGTCCTTCTGGACATTTTGTTCTAGAGGTAAGCTTGTTCGGATTGAGTTTTGTAAAACAAGTAAACAACATCTAGGTCCTAAAGTTAGTCTAAGATATATAAGTCATTAGTAAGTGTTAGTGATCCATTAGCAAGGGATTTAATTACAAGGATTAAGACTTGCTCGTAATTAACGTATTAATCAAGTTGCTGTACCTGGAATATTGGATATTAATATTTATTTATTTTTCCGATTTATTTGCTACATTTATTACCCTCTGATTAAGATCCCTTCCCTGCAATATTTGCCGTTCTAATATTTTGTTCTGGGTTACACGAGGGTGAGCTTTGGAATATTTGTTAATAGTTTCGTAAGAACTAGGCTTATAATTACGATTATTTAACCATGTATCAAATCCTATACGCAGCACCGCAAATTTCTTTGCTGCAATAGTGACAATTAAAGCCTGTCATTATTGCCTTCTGGAATTTGAGTTAAAAACATTTTGACCTCCTGGAATAGTCTGTATCTTCAACTAGTGTTACTCGTGTCATCAATACGCATTGTTGAAAGGTTGTGGAATAAATCATATTATCAAAATTGGCGCCCGAGTGTTTCTGAGTCTGAGGCGTCATAAATAAGAAATTGTTTTCTCTAAGGCAAGAAAATCTCTTTAAATATTCTACTAAAAAAACCAAATGGGAACCGATAGAAAATTAATTTGAATCGCTTATAGGCCCTAAGCATGGATTCTAAATAAATTGGACACAACTTTTATCTTTGTATTGCGGTAAAATCAAGAGGCTACTCTTGCGTGTTAAAGTATCCAACATTCAACTCAGGATGTGTTAAAAATATTAAAATAGGTAAACTCTCTCGCTTTTAAACCCATTAATGGAATTTGAATCCAATATTCAAATACTTATCCACCTCCGCATATAACTCAAATAGATCGTTTAAGGTTCAACTGAATAAATCTCGAACGCTAATGAGAATATTTTAATCTTAAAAGTCCATTCAGCGTCGATATTAGATTAATTAAAACTTCCAATCTGCTAATAGATTTTCTAAAATAAAACACCGACATACTTTGTACAGGCGAGCATAAATTTGGATTAAATTTAAACATTGAAAGCGTTAACGATGATAATTTGCAACTATAGGACATGCCGTATTTATTTAATTAATAAAAATCACAAACAAGCAAACTGTTTGACCTGCCTTATGATCAAATAGTTCATCAAACGATTTTTTATAACTCAATCATGGAGTTACAAGTATCTTTTTCAAACATTTAAAACGGTATCACTGGGCGTGGCTTACGACGATTCAATATGGCCGATCCGCCAGATACGGACTATTTTGAATACAATCCAAACCAACATTTTTCTTTTTTTTTTGAAGGAAATTTGAGTTATATTTATTAAAAAACTTATAAAAAAAATTAAAACGGATCATTGAGGTTATAATAATTATAATATAACAAAAAAATGTGTAAGTGGAAAAATTTGTTGGTATTTTATAGAATAATTATAAGGTCCAGAACTCTCATGATTTAACATAACTGTTATGTTAGACCGTAACATAAAATAATCAAATAGTTGTTAAATAGGCAAGTAATAATAGAAAATATATTAGGGCAAAATAAATAATATAAAAATTATGATTGACTATTAAACAATATACAATTATATTGTTGTAATATCTTATACTATCTTATACTATCACAAAATTAGGAAATACCATTTCATATATTTCGTCAAAATATAAGATCGATTTGGCAACAAAGTTTAGATTTTAAGGTATTATAAGTACTAATTACATTTTTGAATTTATTTAAAATAAGTGCCTTCCTTGTTCAAATTCAGATTCCCCATAAAAATTTTCAAAAAAATAAGAGAGATTACTGAATTATATATCGTATATTATAGGAGTTAATAAAAAAAAATGAAAACTGAATCAGCCCTTTTTATTTGGCTAAACATTTAATATTTGTACAGTTCAAGAATATTTTGTAAATATTTTTTCTTCTTTCTCGCAATACTTAAAGCGACACGTGTTTACTTTATATATCCAGTTAAGGAAAACACGCCACTTCAATTTTTCGAGTTGCTCCTTGTGAATGTTTTGCTTCATTTATGTTTGTGACAGCGTACCGTCTAAAACTACATTCAACATTATTTCACTTTACGCTTAGCATGTTATTTCATCTTATTTTTAATCAAAATAGAAAAATTCATTTCTGGGCTATTCCGTGGAAAAGTCGGAATTTCAGTTGTCTATTTTTATGAATAAAATAAATATAATTTGTTTAAAAGAATATAAACGAGTGAAATATTATACGAGGGTGGACTGAAAAGTAATCGGTGTAATCAGAGCGTAGCAGTAACAATTATATTTATTATCCGCAAGGAGATGCCTATGAAAAGAAAAATCCCCACCAGAACCGAGTCCCGAAGAAGAACAAATTCTACTTCCGCAAGAAGCCTCATTTTAACAAGGAGAGAGGTTTAAAGTTAATAACCCTGAGTCGGCAATTTTGTGGACCAACTCTGGAATTACTGACTATTCATTCCGATTATTTTATCATTCCACCTTAAGTGCATCTATTGTATTACATTTCCTTTCATTATAATTAGTTCAGAATCTATTACAAATAAGTAAATTCCTAATTTAAATTAAATATTAAACGAAAAACTATTTATAGAGTACACTTTTTGTTGTTAAAGACAAAACAGTCATTTTTTATAAACATTTTCAGGTAAAAACGTAGAAACGATGAGACTGTTCTAACATGTTACCTAAATTTTCTTTCAAAACATTTTGATAAAAAAAAACAGTAAACTTTTAAAATAATTTTATTTATGGTAAATTTGCATGCCTCTTTCTACGGTATTGAACACGATGCTGTAAGGATATAGCACGTCGGTAGTCGTTTATTATGTAACACATGTAAAATCGTTAAAGCGGAGTTCTAATACCTACCGAAAGTTATTTCGAACTTCATGGGATGAAAAATAACTCGTTTTAGCCATGCTTTGAATCCTCTGAAATTGTTAATATTTCACTTATTCGTTTGCAGGATTTTAAGATTAGTTTGAAAAGTAATTTTTTTTCTTTTCATCGAAGAAAACTATTCTGAAAAAAAAATGTATTACTCTTTTAAATTCATATATAAGTCTGGGACCCACTTAATGTACAATTGATGAAATCAGACAGATCATACGAACTCGAAAAAAAATATAAATACAGGGTGATCCATTTAAAATATTGTCCGATAACGTCATATCTTGAAAATCATTACGTATGCGGAAAATCTGTAAACGTCAATAAATAGTACATAAAATGTACAAAAACTTTTATCTAAGTCAAATTATCGTACAAGTCATAGTTAAGCCATAAATCAAGTGTTCCGCCCATATAGAATGACCCGGTATATATATAACTTAAAAATAAGTTGAATCAATAATACATTTTTTGCATGGTTTTAAATTCCATACTTTTGGGGTGTCTAACAAATCAGAAAGCTCCTCGTGAACCATCGATAAATAATAAATATTTTCAACTTTATAAATTTTACTCAGTTTATGATAACAGATACAGTTTGTTATATTTTCTTGTTAAATGTTGAAGTATAAAACTTTGTTAGTTAGTTAAGTTATTTTCTGAAGAAGACATAAGTCTCAACTTCTTTCATAAACCGTCAACACTCCAAAAAGTTTGGCCAATCTCAAGACTTAAGGTTTTATCCAATTTATTACTAAATTACAGAATTGCCCGAGAAAGAAAAGGGTGATGAGAACAATACAAAAGTTTTGCATTTCCCGAACTTGAACAACTTTCGAATATTCGTTGATTTCGAAGTATTTTTTGTCGACAAGCAACAACATCGTTCAATGTTGGAATAGTTCGCTCTTTTCGACTCATAAACTATTTAGGAAGTATTTAGTTTACTGTGACAATTTGCAAGATGTTAATTGTTGTTTTCTTTTGCGAGTAAATTGTCGAGTATTTCTTACAAGAAGTTGAAATTTTAAAGTAACAATTTGATTTGGAAATGTAGAAACAACGGAAAATGTGCTAAATATATCGTTCTTACAGAATGAGATTTTTAAATAAAAAAAAAGTTACTTTTCTACTTCTTTTTTAACATCGGTATTATATTTGCTATAAAAACTTTTATAGCTACTTTTGCAGATGCACGGCCATATTGGTATTCTATAATAGTAAAGACATTAGAATAGAAAGGTAATAACATAGTAAACAGCATGGAGGAGGTATGGAAAGGAGTTCCTACACATAAGTTTGTATCAGATGCGCCATATTGTTGCGATGTAAATGTCATTTGTGACATTGACTTGGCCAATGTAGAGTCCTTTTTATTGGCTGCCAAGGTCTCCTGACCTCACAGCTTCCAATTTTTCTATATGTGGGATAATAATGTTCAGAACAGGATGGAAACCGTTCATTCTTTTGTAAGATATAAATAGTGTAACCCCGTCGGTATGGTTTTATACCTACTATAATAATTACCGTTTTACAATATTACTATTTTTATCTGCTTATATATAGCGTTATAATAATAAATGAAAATAAAGTTTCCCCAGGAAAACCATTTATCGTCCAGGTTCTAAAATAGTTTATGTTAATTAGGAGGCGACTTCTAACTCTATCACTTAATAGTTTATACAGTTATTAACTAAAGTCACGCGATGAAAGCATACATAAAATACTTATAATTTGTAATTTGTTTGTACGTACACTATAAAAATAACGTAATGATTTGGTTATTTCATGATGTGAATGTTATATTTAAAATGACCTTCATTTCAGTCGTCGATAAATCTTTTTTATCCGCAGAATATACATTTACTTACTTTAA